TAGTAATTAATCAATATCAACCTTATATGCATATGGTGTTTTTTGTGTGTGTGTAGAATTGATTCGATCTTCTCATACTCATATTTACTTACTCAATAGCGTAAATTAGCTTAAAAGGAGTTAATATTTTCTTCACACATTCACCAACACACACACACACACACACATTTATATACACATACATATGCATACAACAACTTATATATGATACAGAGTTCAACGAAACCTTAGTATTTTTGCACAAAAAAGATACTTTGAAAGAGTACATATAGACGCATATCATATGTCATAGACAATGAAGATACTCTTACCAATAATGACATAATGGTTCTCTCTCTCTCTCTCTCTCTATATATATATATATATATATATATATATATATATATATATATATATATATATATATAACTGCTCATCAAAGTGACAAAGCTATTATACTGTTTAAATCAATTAATGAATATTTTGATATGTTAAAACACAAAGTAAAAGACTGTGATAACAGTTCACAAAACAACCTTCACAACAAAAAATAGACATAATTTAATATGAACTTGATTGATTGGATTAGATTCTATTGCTCTATAGTCACCATCCTTCCAAATTACTCCTCAGGTTAAATTTCCAGACACCGTCAAAGCATCCACACAAGGAGGCGATATATATATCACCCTGGAGGTTGAGTACTTCGATCCAATCAACAACTCGTTACTCAAGGGGTATCTCTCATAGCCCAAGTGGGCTAGTGGATAACGCTTTGACAAGTGAAACGATGAGCACTGGGTTTGAGTCCCACTGCGAACATCATCACTGACTGAATAATGTAGGCACATCTACCAAATGATGAGTCCTACTGTGGTGAGAGTAGGCTGCTAGCCAAAGTTGGTAGACATTAATTTACGTCAATGTTTATGTCCCCAATATTGGTCGTGAGAAAATATGAACAAAGACTGAATCAACAACCGATCACAACAGACTTTGCGTAGGCAGATACAGTTGACATATAGAGATGATCTGACATTCAAGAAACAGTCACATAAAGATGCAAGGTCAACTTTCTGTGAGAAACAACCAGTCAGAAGAGTGTGTTTGTTTGCTTGAATAAGCTATAATAGAGTACATGAAAATATATAAATACGTGTTGATTCCCTTAATAAACGATCTGTTGCCTGGCTCTTGTCTTCTTTTGTTACACTACATAGGACAACATACGTGCTATCTTAAATTCTACTACTGCCACCAAAGTACTTACTCGAAGAAAAACTTAATGATACCTGAAATCTAAGGATATTTGAAAACAGACTACAATCCGACCAAAATTACCAGCAGATTCCACTAAGTGAGATAAGGAGAAGAGTTACTCGCCAATCATGTTCGCTGGAGATTGATTGCACTACACATATCGCGAATTGGCAGAATTTGGAATTCACGAGTCACAGTGGCTGAATGGTCTACGAGCTAGCTAGCTTGCTCGCTCGCTTTGTAACCAGAAGGTCCTGAGTTTGAATCCCGGCGGGTGAGTACTGATGAAGAGTTCCAAGCTAGTCTGGCGGAACAGCTGTCAACCACTTCCTGGCCTTCCAACGGTTCTCTAACTGATGTCAGGAAAATATTCAGTCACCGCGCAGCGTTAATACCTATCTCCATGAATTACACATGCATGATGATGAGTGCTAGATGAGTGCCACGCTAGGCTGATTCAAATTCTACTGTGACCTAGATTTTCATCGCAATTTTCATCACCTCTGTCTTATTACATACAATCCAAAAAGATATCCAAGGTAGTCCATTTATGCGCATATATATATATATATATATATATATATAAGACTGTTTTAATTGAAAGTCACTAATAGATCGCGTTTGCCTCAACAGATCACATTAAGACTATACCTCTCTAAAAACGGGGTATTTTTTTCTCCCCACGTCTGCTAAGCAGAACAGTATATATAAAACAGCGTGTTTTTTTTCAGAGACTGTATAACGCATTCCAGGAGTATAAAATACTGTCTATGATGAAGATGATGGACATAAATACAAGAAGGCATTAGGATAGATAGACAGGAAGAGAGAGAGAGAAAGAGACATAGAGTTTAATGCAATTAATATTCCTGTCTTATCATCAATGCCAATCATTCATGTTCAAATGGCTTTTGTGTATATCTTCTGAAATGGACTAGACAGACCAGCTAATTAATTAATTCATTAATTAATTAATTGATTAGGCTCATCATAGATATGTTGTTAACATGAAGAATAAGAGTTAACTCGATACGCGAGATACAGATGTCTATATTAGAGGGTTGCAGGCAATAGGTAGGAAGCCTTGACACTCGCCTGTCAGTAAGACGTATCTGCATGCGTGAAGGAACTCATGTGTCTCTTCTGAGATTCGAACCTGCATCACCCAGTGGGTGCTTCAGTCATAGACGTTACAAGTAGGCCATTCAGGCTCGCGAGTTCGAATATCAGAAGGGACATGAGTTCCTTTACGCATGCAGATACGACTTGCTGACTGACTGGTGAGTGCCAACCAACACGAAATCTAGGTCAGGTAGGGCTTCCTGTGGCCAGTTGCCTCTAACTATCTCATATCACCAAATCAATATGCACTGTGATGGCGAGCTACCTAATGGCATGGTGGCCACATTGCAAACCTGACTGACTGATAGAATCCAGTCTGCACCAAAGAAAGGAGTAAACACACATCACACTAGTTGCCCACTAGTCTTCAATCAAAGTACATTTGTCTGTACACATTTAAATTAATGAATGCCTATTTAATACAGTTATGTATGTTCTTCGAAATGCAATAGGACATTTTAAATGACAGTCTATAGTGTTTTACTTAGATAATCAATGTAAAAAGTATACCTCAAGTGTAGTTAGTAGTCCATATAAGATGTGAGTTAGCTTTTCTTCTTTATTCCCTGAATTCACTTTTAAGTAGCGGGTGTGTTGTTTATTTTATGAATTGAAGTTTCTAGCCTTATAGCTAACTTTCCCTATTTTTTTTAAAACTTACTAGCAGCTAATAAAGTACATCGGCCGAGAATCGGAACTTGAACCACGTGTATAATTTGATGAGGATTCTACTGGTGGACCACCGACGCACGAGTCAGAACATAATAATTTTCCAATGTTACATCTGTGGGTGGGTGGGCGGTCGGATTACACTGATTTTAAGTAAGATTAAGGGTCTTGAACCAACACATGCCCATGCGTATCACCTTATAGGTTGTGGATTTGATGCTTGACAGGGTCATAGGCCACACAGGTGGACCCTCAGTATATATATATATATATTCATTCCTCCCTTTGAGTCCCGAAAGGAACATAGTGGCTTCAAGCTTTAGAGTCCGAAGGTTAAGTAGCATTGGTGTTGTTTTAACGGGATGCGGATTGCAAGTCTCACTCCTAACCTCCACCGTCTACCAGGCTAACTGCCGGCTAAGGGGGGGGGGGTTAGCAGTGCATCGGCTGGGAACCGAACTCCTGACCACATTCGTCGTTGATGAGCATTGCGCCACAAAACTACCAACGCCCTGTAGTCCTGAACTAAAACAAAACGATTTTGAAACGACATGCCTTCATGATGGAATACACCAAAATGATTTTATTTAAGACTGCAGCATTTATCAGAAATATATATATATATATATATCAATGGTTCAGTAGTAGAACATTCGCTAACCATGCATCACGTGGTCCGAGTTGGATCACCGGCAAACTCACACCTAAACCTCACCTAGATGGTAGGAAGTACGGACATGTGGGAAGGTTGGGCGTCAGGTTAGCAACCCCATCCCTTTAAAAAAATAGTTAACATTGGTACTGAAAGTTCAAGGCTTAAACTTTAAGCCCTATATTTCACTCGGAATGCATGGGAATAAAGAGATTCGCCAGAAACAAATCTTCACGGAAATATCTAAACCAGAACAAGGTAAGTTAGGTGATTTAACAACCAGCATTATTATTCCCGTGGGTTCCAAGTGGAACATAGGGCTTCAGAAACACATCTCCACTTGGTTCTATTCCCTGGTGTCCTCTTCAGCTGTGTCCACAATTGCCCAAGTTATCTCATCTCCTCTATGTCACCCTCACACCGCCAACCTAGTCGTCACTTTTCATTAGGATTCCTCTCAGGCGATGAACTGCATTGTGCGTGATGTCCTTTGACGGTCTCCTTCAGTGGTGTATACCCGATCCATCCATCTCCATTTGTCTAATCAAAACTGGTTGAATAGGTGTTAAGTCTACTGTAATACTTCAAGGTATGAATCTCCATCTTATATAATTTATGAAACAGTAATTAAATATTTGTTTAACAGCCATGCATTCCTGTTAAGTATTCACTGTGTTAGAATATTCCCCCAGCTACACACGTGGTCGAAGGTTAGATTCCTGGTCTAGTTTCTTAGCCGACCATAACTCCCCTCTAGAAAAGAAGGGGAAAACTGAGCTTAAGGCTTGCGACCTCGCCACATAAAAGAAAAAGCCCCATCACTACTGACACTTCAAAAGCTGGAATGCGGGACTTCAAGAGAGAGAATGAAAAAAATAACAAATTCCCACAGTTACTCTTCCTAAATATAAGATGGAATGATGAGAGTTACAATTAATCTGAGTGTCAACAATAAATACACTGACCTAATGTTAGACGGTGTGAGACGATCGGTAAGATGCGCCCACAACCTTGCTTAGCAGAAGGCTAGTAGGCGTGGCTGCCTACCGACTGCTTCTAAATATCCAAGAATAATTTTTAAAAAATTGCACTGCAATGATGAGTTTCGTACGTAGACTGATGATCACATTGTAAACTTAACCTACAGAACTCAGTCAGCATGAATACATACCGTTAAGGACGCCCCAACTCCACCCCACCCCCCACCCCCGGCCAAGTATCCAAACAACATAATTATTGACTTAATTATCGAGAGAGATAAAACAATATAAATTCATAACAAAGATGATATTAATAATAATAAATAAATAAACATTACCTCTAAACTAAAATAACCTCGATCGACATAATCGCCAAGAAATAGATATCGGGTTGTTTCAGGTGGACCGCCAACTTCGAATAATTTCATTAAATCGTAGAACTGACCATGTATATCTCCACAAACTGATTTTTGTTTTTAGCAAAAAATAACACATAGACAATAGAAAAAAGATTAAACAAAAAAACTAATAAGCAGCAATGATGGCGAAATGCATTAATTAAAAAACAATTTTGTCTAAGAGAATTTTCATTATTAAATAGGTATATTCATTCTTCAGGCTAAATCATCACTGTCTACTGTGTGTTCATGTATGATTTTGCAGTATGTTAAGAAGACAATTGCAGCGAAGAAAATTTTCTTTTCGATGAAGTCATCATCTAGGTAGCTGTACATTCATTCGTGTATTTATATCAAATGGATGAGAAAGTTCCAGAATAATTTCCGTTAAGGGTCAAATTAATAAAAATTAAAACTAGGAATTAGAATGCAATAATAAACAGGGGGCGGGACGGATAAAACTCAAACAAAGTAGCATCATAATAACTAAGAAGATTGACATTGTGCAATTAGGGGTTAGAAATACGCTCTTTCCTCGAGGATTCGGAAGATATGCAGCGAGGAGGTGGTTGAAGAAGAACTGTGTAATCTTCGAAAAACCCTTATGTAAAACGGTTTCCCGCCTAGGTTCATAGACAAGAATCTCAAATCTGAGAAGACTTCCGAACAAGTCCAACCGTTCCAAAGAAAATACTTCTGCTTAATCTGGAATTCAAAGTTAACATCGAAGCAGAAATCCTTCGTAAACGCCTCTCCAAATCGATGAGGAAAACATACTTAGCCGAGAGCCTACGACTGACGTTTTCCTGTACGAAACTGTTCAGCCAGAACACGAAAGACAAGCTATCGCATCAGGCCACCTCAACGTGCATATACCAGTTTACTTGCTCTTGTGGAGCTGAGTACGTTGGCCGTACCATGTGCCGACTTGAAAAACGCGCTCGTGAACACTACCCAAGGAGACCAAAAGCGTGTATACAGTTCAGTGACAGAACATCTGGTCAATTCAGGACATTCAGCACCTTTCGAAAAATTCTTTAAAGTAATATACAAAATTCAATGAAACTTATCAAAGGGAGTGAAATCAAGACATCTGGGCAAAGCCGAGGCACTAGCTATACTAAAGCTCAAAACCACGCTTTGTTTACAAAAGAAATACGTCCAACCCCTGTCCCTGCCATGGCCATCATAGACAGGTAATTTTTTTAGTAATCACTATCCCATCGCCTTTCTCATCTAAACTTCCTGTTTATTCATGTTATTTTTTAAAGTTTTCTTAATCCCTGTTTACACTACCATATTTTCATATCTGAACTTCGTGTTTATTTTGTCATTTCACTATTTCTACGTATTTATTCCATGATTGCATGAACAATTATTCACCACATTAGTTTTTATCCAAACATCCTGTCCATTTTGTTATTTCTACATTTCTAACCCCTAATTGCACAATGTCAATCTTCTTAGTTATTATGATGCTACTTTGTTTGAGTTTTATCCGTCCCGCCCCTGTTTATTATGGCATTCTAATTCATAATTTTAATTTTTATTAATTTCACCCTTAACGGGAAATTATTCTGGAACTTTCACATCCATTTGATATAAATACACGAATGAATGTACAGCTACCTAGATGATGACTTCGTCGAAAAGAAAATTTTCTTCGCTGCAATTGTCTTCTTAATAACTCCTATGACCCAATGTGTATATTCCGTGATTTGCAGTTGATATATATAATGTTGTAACAGCATTGACCAGCTACAGCCTGGTTGATGAACTCCTTTGAATGGATGCATCGATATGATCAGGATTATTCGGTAGAATCCAGAACGAGTGTTTTGTCTTGTTTGGGACTCGTTGACCGGATGTACTTTCTCTTCGGTGAATGATGATGTCCTCACTGAAACTTGAAGACTGTACCCACAGGTCGGTGTATATGAGCGGATGCCACGATATTACCAGCATTAAAAATCCAAAGCTACTTGACTGATGGTGTTAGCAGTAGACTCCAAGAAGGGCGCATCACCTCCTATTCGGGTCTGATTGAAAGAAGAAATTTCACTAAATCTTCAAAACTTCTTTTTCCACTAGGAAATGTAACTTTTTCTTCTTAAAAACAACGACATTTTTCTAGAATCACATTCACAGTTTTGAAAAATTCATCATGACTTCCTAAGGACACAAGACCACATTATGTAGGTCCATATGATAACATGAAGTATCATAGCTAAAGTCAAGGTCGAGTCAAAGTCAACCTTCAAGAACCCATCACACACAGGGAATGATGTCTGTCTGTCTGTCTGGATTCAACATAGAACTTCGCACCGAAGTGCACCAGTTCGAGTTGCCACGTTCCAAATAGCACACAAAGGTAGACAAGAAGATGAGTGAAGAGAATCAATAGAGTTTGACAGGTATAAGAGCGAAACAGAATGAGTAATGGCAAAAAGGAATATGAAAGATTGCAGAGGCTGAATACATCTGCACTGGCCATTGACAACGACTTTGTGCCATGTCACCTATTGTCTCCAGCCATTGATTCCTAGAGTCCCGAGGGCCCCAACCCGAAAGTCTGTATCTCCCTACCTGACTGACTCAGTTTAACTTTCAAGGATTTCATGGATTGATGAGGCCATGTTTTTGTTTGGCCACCACTTACTCTTTTCCAACCTGCACCTACATCAGCCAGTAATGCCCGTCGGGGGAGGCGATGGTTAGGCATGCGCAGCCCGTGACCTAGACATTTCAATATATGCAACTTTATAGCCTCGTCGATTGATTTTCCCTCTTTGCCCAACACTCTACGCCTAATGTCAACATTACTTACCTTGTGAAACCACCTAACGTGAGACAGAGATCGCAGACATCTATGATCAAAAGCAGTCAACCTTTCCATGTCTTCAACTCGTATTGGCCATGTTTCAGAGCAGAGCCATAGAGAAGGACGGAGCGAACTGCTGAGCAGTACGCACGTCCCTTGGTTGATAGCCGGATGTCACGCCTACGCCAGAGATGGTGTAGGTCAGCGAAAGCAGCTCGAGCTTTTTGGATCTGTGCTGATATTTCGTCGCCAATCAGTCAGTTGGTGCTGACACAACTTCCCAAATAGGTGAAGTGGTCAAAATGTTCTATCACTTCATTCCGTCTCACTAAGCTAGGAGTTGGCGTAGTCCAGTCCTGTAGCAGCATCTTAAATTTTGCAGGGGCGAATCGCATGCCAAACATACGAAGATTGTTGCTCAAGGTGTTCAGAAGACTCTGCATTTTGTCAGCATCCTCCCCTAACAGGAAATGCTATGAAATATCATTCCAAATCAAGTCATCCCTGACTTTTTAAACTTGGAGAGGATAAACACAGTGTTCTACTTATTTAATAGGTACTTTTTCTGCAAATCTACAGTTTTAGATGAGCTCATGGCTTATAAAACTAAGCTTTAAAGTCTAGGGTTAAAGTTGAGTTGAGAGTTGAGATTATGGTTAAAGTTAGGAGTAGGTTGAAAAATAGTGTCACAGATATTAATGGATCTCAAAGCACCATGACCTATATTCACCTGGATGAATGGGTATATCATCCATGGTACGATATCTGTGTAGTGAATGGGAGAAATTCTTACATCAGTGTGATATCATGTTTGTAGTGTATTTTCTAGTGTATTTTTATGCAACTCTTTTGAGATTTGAATTCTGATTGGTTGCTCAAGGTCACTGTAGTTTTGGCTATGATAGTTTAATATTTGTCGAAGTGGGCTTTGAAAATTCTTTATAAGTGCACAATAACCGTCCACATCCTAATGACTATTGAATGTGATAAGTTGTTTCCCAAGATTTTTTTCAGATTATCATCCTCTTTTTCATCCTACATCGTTATGGATTATTTTGTCATTCTGATATTTGACTATCTCTTTTTGACTGTTTGATAGATTTGTTCGATGATTTTAGATTCACCTATTTACCAATGGTTCTAGTAATTCTATGATATTCTTGATATATCTAGTCTCTAGAAATGAACAATCGTGTGCAAGTTCACTGAGGCGGTTGCTTATTACACCAACATATTTCATTCTTTGCTATCTGAACGGAACAAAGGTCTTCAGGTTTGAAGCCTAGATGTTTTAGTAGCAATGGTGTTGTATCTCTTAGTGATGGGAACGTGGGGTGGTGTTGCTAACCATTCACTGAATCACATTCTCTTTTCTGGGCTTGCTACCGGTTTGGTGAGGCATAGGAATGCGTCAGCTCAGTGTCGCACCCTGAAGCATCTGTGTGTTTGGCGAGCAACTGTCAACGCTAATATCAAGTCAGTGCTAATTACTATACGGATCAGAGACTTGGCCAGCGTGTCACAAAGGCCACTTCCAATGAACTACACATCTTCATCAACAGCTGTCTTAGCTCAATACTTCGCTCAAGATCAGATGGCTGGCCAGAAAAGGTTAACAACAATGATCTCTGGGAACAAACCAACCAACCAACCAGGAACTAATTGCGCCACAAATATGCAGGAAGAAATGCAGGTGGATTGGATTGGCCATGCTCCGAGAAAACAAACCACCATCAAGTGACATCCATCACACGCTAGTCCATCGATCGCATAGAACCCGAGTGCAAAGCAACGAGTTAGTTGGCCGTCAGTGCGACGGTGACATAGAGCAGGAGGTTATGCGGAGAGGATATGACAGCATCTGGAGCCAGGTGATGAAAACGTTGGCAGAGAACCGAACGCAATGGAGACGTACGGCTAAAGCCCTACGCTCCTCTAGGAACTAAAGGGAACAACAAGCAACAAAAACAACCACAACAACAAGGGTGTGTTTACGTAATGTTTTGATACCATAGTAGACAGCTGAATTCCAAACTCGATGACGTAAAATTAGCCTAATTCATAGTAAATCAATTTATCACAATTGAAATCATCTATACGAACTGAGAGTATTTCAGTCTAGCAAAAAGATTACATTTATTATCATTATCATTATTATTATTATTACTACCAATAGGACCTTGCCTTATGATGGTAATAGTAATAATAACAGTAAAAATAACATCCACACTTCAAATGGTTAAC